TGCTCCAGGTGATTGCTGTAGTCATGGACATGTTTACTGACGTGGACATCTTCAAGGACCTGCTGGACGCCGGCTTCAAGAGGAAGGTGGCCGTGTACATCATCGTGGACGAGGGCAGCGTCAAGTACTTCCTGCACATGTGCGAGCGGGCGCGCATGCACCCCGGGCACCTCAGGGTGAGCAGGGGCTGGGCAGCGGGGCCCACGGTCAGTCAGTCAGCCAGCAAGCCCTCTGGGTAGAGCCTGGGGCCTGGCCCTCACATGCTGAGGGGCAGGACAATCACTGTCTCTAACCACGGGGTGGGGGCAGGGCAGCCACATGGGTAAGGTGCCGGCCCATGCAGGTGCCTGCTCTGTGTGCTTCCTCATGGGCGCTGTCTTTGCTTGCACACCTCCCACAGCAGGGGGCTCACCCCTCCTCATGCATCTGCGACATGGGTGACATGGGAATTCACAGCACCTTGAGGATGTAGCTCAGCCCAAGGACAGGCCAGTGTGTGGTTCAGTGTCAGAGACAGCGTCCAGGGTGGTGCCCAGCTGACGTGGGTCCACAAAGCAGGAGCACAGGAGAAGGGGCCTCCTGGCTGCCCAGTGAGAACCAAGGCTGGGATGGGTTGGGGTCTGCAGGATAGGGACAGGCCCACTCTGATCACCTCCTGGCCCAGTGACCTGGAACCAAGTCTGGGCTCCAGGACCTCCCAGACTGAACAGGCGTAATGAGTCCATGTTACCAGCCTCCTCTGCTCAGACACTGGGGCATTTCCGTGCCCTGTTTTGGGGCAGTGGGCCCTCCCTCTTCCAAACCCTGGCTTGGCACCTGCTGTCTGCAGAAGGACCTCTTGGAAGCCACAGATCTACATGCACAACAGCAGCCAGCCCTGGGGTACCGCCTGGACAGTCCACGTGTTCTGACCTCACAACACCCAGGGGCCTGGGCAGCAGGTCCCCCATGGAGGCACTGCCGGACTGTCCTTGCCGTGTGGTGCAGGTGAGAAGACGGGGCTGCACAGCCGCAGGCTCTGACTGTCAGAATTCCTCCGGCTTCAGGCCCAGGGCCTGACGGGGTCCCAGGAGGGCAAAGTGGATGGCAGGCAGGCAGGCTGGGTACTAAGGGGCCAGGCTCCCACGCCCATCATTGGTGGGTATCCAACAAGTTGCCCTCACCCCTCCTCCAGGTGGGTCCTTTCAAGTAGGCCATGAACTCCCCAGGCGGGTTTGTGGCTGTCAGGGCACGCTTCATGTGGCCGCCTGGGTACGCTGACCCCCAAGCCCCAGACGCCACCCTACCAGCAGGACAGCTCACCATGGCGACCAGAGCACCGTGCACATCTCCTCAAATACAGGCTTTCCCTGTGGGAGAGCGCCACCCTGGCCAGCCCTCCCACAGACCTCGACGCTCTTCTCGCACCTGAAGTACCTATTAGACCCCCTGCACGTGCCCTGTGGTCTAGGTCCCATCATGTGGGCAGGGGCTCGTTGGCAGCAGTGTCAGAAACTGCAGTCTCCTCCCCCAGGCCCCAGGCCCTTCTGCAGGCAGTCCTCTCTCAGGCTCCCAGGAGGTGGTTGGTGGACCGGGACTGAGGTGGGCTAGGGTTATGGCCCAGAGACGGGCAGCCCCCTGCAAGACAGGCCCTGCCTGGCTCCTTGTAACCTGGAGTGCCGGAGCACGCACTCAGCCAGCAGCGTCAGGGCCCGGGGGGACCTCAGGGGTCGTCCTGACAGCTCCTGCAGGACAGATGAGGAACCTGAAGCCCAAGGCCACGGTGACTTGCCCAAAGACATCTGCAAAGTCAGGGGCTGGACGTGGCAGGTACATGGAGGACCCAGGGCCTGGGGGCCTGCCCGCATGCACCAGCTTGGGCGGTACCACCACCTCCCCCCCGCCTGCACTGCACGCGGCCGGCATAGTGCCGCCAAGGGCGGCTTGCAGACAAAATTACAGGAGAGGGTGGTTATAAACGTTCTTGGCGAGCTCGGGGGAGTTGCTGGCAAAAACAGTGTCTTCTAAGTCCAAGTTCTGGGCCTCTCCACTCTTCCCCACCCACCCACCCCCTCCAGCTGGTACCTGGCCACTCGGCAGTGGCTGCCATCACCCTGGAGCAGGGAGGACAGTGGGCCCCAGGGGTCCCAGGCCCCACCGGCCCTGCCTGCCGTCCACCTGCTCTGGAAATGGTGGCATGGTGGGGGGGGCATGCACACCCACACCTGATATGACGTCACCAGTGGCCAGTGGGAAGACTGGGCACCTTCATGGGAAAGTGTGACCATGACTTCCTCATTCTCACCTCCGAGCCCGCCCCTCTTCAGCCTGGGTGGCAGCCAGCAGCTCCCGTGGGCCTAGCCCAGCCAGGTGTTGCCTTGTTAAGGACCTGCCTCCCTACCCTCAGGCCGGGTGGGCCCAGGCCTGTCTCCAGAGTGTTTCCTCATGGTAATCCCTAGGCTACCAGTGGCCCTGCCCAGCTCTGCACTGACTGGCCCCGGCTCCCACTGGCCCTGGTACAGAGCCAGGTGGGCCTGTGGGGGTCACATGTGTGGCCCAACCTGAGCTCTGAGCCCGAGACTCGTGAGCTGTGCAGCAGGAACAGTTATCACGGATGACACTGTCCAGCTGTGGAGAGGACAGAAGGCTCTGGGCGCTCAGCGATGGCCTCCCTGACGCTGATCTGTACTTCTGAGGGACCTGCTGCACTCTCGCTGGGGACCACCCTCAGCCCCTGCTTCCAAGCAGCCCCCCATCCTGCACTCCAGCCTCCTCTCCATCCCAGCTCATTGGACACTGCCTATTGTGGGGCCACTCAGGCACCCAGGTCTCCAAGTGAGATGGGCCACACAGCCAGCGCTGCTCAGAGCCCTGGGGCTGGAGGCTGGAGCTCACTGGGGGCGACCCTGCATCTTGAGGGCGCCAGCCAGGTCACTCCCAGCTGGTAGCTCAAGACAGAACAGCTGCTGCCGAGGCTCGGCTGTGGATAGCTGAATCGGCTTTGTGCAGAAGCCACACAGTGCCAGCCAGACCCACTTCCAGTGAACGAGGCCGTCCTATCGGACGCTGGGGGAGCCACTTAGCGAGGGCGCAAGGGCCCACACAGTGGCCTGCCCAGCCCTCCCAGGGCCCGGCGAGTCCTGCCTTCCAGCCCTGTCCTGCATCTACAGTAGACTCTAGGTGTAGGGCATGGTTAACCAACCAGGCTCTCTGCCCACCCTGGGACCATGTGGCACTTTAAGGTATCACACCAGGAGGCGCTGTGGACGTGTAGTGGACAGAGGTCAGTGCACTGCTCAGCGTCCGATGGCGTTACAGGACAACCCCCACCAGCAAGAAGGAGAAGAGCCCGTCACGTTGTGCAGATAGCAGGCCAGTCTAGAGGAGGGTTTTCAGAGTCCTTTCCCACCTGGGGACCGAGGGCCTTGGTACCACCCATGGGGTGCTCTTTGCCCCCATCCCAGTCCCTGCACACCTTTACTTTTCTAGGGGGAAAGGCTGGTGGGGCCCAGCCCTCCAGGGGCTCACCCAGGGGCAGGACAGCTCTGGCTCCCAGGTCAGGGCTCCAACCTCACTTGGTTCCCAGGCTCCTCGATCCCACGCCTCCAGCCAGGGCTGCCAGTGGCCCCACATAGGGCAGGGAGTGGGGAAGACGCAGCCCTGGGGGCCCTGAGACTGGACTTCACCTCCCCGGTCCCACCGGAGATAGAGTCCTTCAGCCTCCCTCCGCAGGCTCCTGTCACCTCACTGGGCCTGCCCCTGGGCCTGTCTCCTTCTGCCCCAAGCGCGGTCACACAACAGACGCTGGACTCTGCAGTGTCCCCAGGGCAGCCAGGCCCCGTTTCACAGGCAAGACTTTGAGGCATATGGACAGCCTGAGTGGCCAGCCCCACCTGACGGCTGAGCTCCAGTGTCTGTCCTCTCCAGCCCAGCTCCTGGGTCCTGGGTTTCAGGCCTGGATTGGGTGGGGGGAGGGAGGCTTGGCAAAGGGTTCAGTCAAGGTCCTCTGGGGCAGGAGAGGTACACGGCAAGGGTCTTTGCCCAGCCCTCACAGTGAGCCTCCTTATTTGCGGCTCTCTCAAAGTCACACTTAGTGTCTCCGGGGGACCCTACACAGAAGGACACTAAAGCCCAGGAGTCTGAGCACTTGTACCACTGTGGGTGTCTCCCACCCTGCTTTCTTCACGTTCCGATGGGGTGTCTTCGAGCTCCAAGACAATGAGGCTTTGTGCCCTTTCCACCTGGGCTCACCGAGCCCAGACTTGGAGACATGACTTCATGCAGGCCAGGCCCCCCTGGGCTGGCCCCACCCAGGGACAAGTAGGGGCCAGACAGGTGTCCTTCCACAAGTTCTACCTCCTGCTGGGCCCCAGGGTCAAGTGGGCTTGGCCTTCAAGGCCAAGTTCCCACTGTGCAGACAGGGAAACTGAGGCCCAGAGAGGGCTCTGCTGAGAGTGCCACTCAAGCTGGGGCTTCAGGTGGTGGGGGCAGGCACAGGTGACAGCAGGGGAGCTTCAGTCCACCCTCTCAGCCCCACGCGTGCTCCGCAGCGGGTGCAAAGTCACAAGCACTAATTGTCCTGGGCTGGGGCCAGCTTCCTGCTGAGCTGGCCCTGTGCAGACAAGCCACCCACCCGTCCGCCCAGGAGCCCAGGCTTATCTCACCCCTGGGCCGTGCCCGACAACAGCACATTGTACCTGCTGGCACGACAGCCCGGGGCATCACGTGGGGGCCTCAGGTGCTGCACCCCACCTCTCTCCCCGCCCCACAAGAACATAGAGCAGCGGGGAGCGCCAGCTGTGTAGGACTTGGAGGTTGGTGGGCTCTGCCAGCCCTTCCGTGCTGCCTCTCCGTGCCAGCCACCCCCTGGGCGATCCCTCCAGTGTCCCCGCACAGGGGCCCTGTGAGTGCCTCTGAGATAAGGTTCCTGGGGTGCACTCCACCTCTACTCTCCACGTGCTGCCTCAGGGTTCCCGGCCCCCTCCTTCCTAGCATGCTTCTCCCTGTCTGGGAGCCCCCAGACTCTCCCTGAGCCTCTGGTCACCTGAGCTGGCTTGTGTACCACCCACGAGGGCCTGGGCACAGAGCTGTCTGCGCTGGGGATGCAGTGTGGTTGCCAGGCCTGTGCGTGAGGGGCAGTCACAGCCAGTGACGGACGGCAAGTGTGTGGCGGCGGAGGGCCCATAGGAGGGAGCTGGGCTCTGGTCCTGGGTGGCCTGCAAGCAGTCTGCTGGGCTCTGCAGAGGACCCTCTTACCCAGGACTTGGGTAAAAGTTGGAAACCCCCGGGGAGGCAAGGGGCACCGGGCCTTTCGAGGAGGGCAGTGATAGGCATGTGGGAATGGTTAGTATGGCCGGTGGTGTTGGTTATACAACAAAGAACCGCCAAGCCACTCTGACTCAGCCCCTGTGGATGTGGGCTATGAGTGCCCCACGGGCCTCTCAGGGCTACGAATCTGTGTGGCCTTGGCTTTCCCTGGGAAGCAGCTGGAGGGTTTGAACTCCTGGCCTTTCCATTTGCAGCCAAGCACTGTAACCACTGCGCCACCGAACTCCCTCGGGTAGTGCCAGGTAGTGGGCTGACTCTGTGGAAAGTAGCCCAGATGGGCAGAGCTCAGCAGGGAGGCTTAAATGGGGTGCCCAGGTTGCCGCTCAGCCAGCCTCTCCCCTCCCTGCCCCACCCCATGTCAGGGTGAGCTTTCTGGCATAAGCCCTATTGCTCTCCTGATGAAGACCCTCCCATGCCCGTTCCCACCCTGACCTGGCAAACTTCTCAAACTGGCCTGACCTCAGGAAGCATGCTGTCAGGGCGGGCTGGGGGCTGCAGTTCTGAGGACCAAAACCCCATTCCCTGCCCCCTCAACACCCCTCGAACTGGCCCAGGATGGCCAGCCCTCTCCCTCCCCTGTCCCCTCCTTGGGAGCCCTCCCTGGTCCCCGGCCAGAACCTGCTGCCCTCCCTGTGTGGTGGAAGCAGCGATGGTTCTAGCCTGTCTCTCTGTCTCCCTTCGTGCCCGGTGCAGAACCTCAGAGTGCGGAGCAGCGGGGGAGCCGAGTTCTTCACCCGCTCAGCCACCAAGTTCAAGGGGGCACTAGCCCAGAAGTTCATGTTCGTGGACGGAGACCGGGCCATGTGTGGCTCTTACAGGTGACTCAGGCACTCGGTGGCAAAACACCTGTCTCTCAGCTGCCTTCTGCCCAACTCCTGACATATGGCCTATTTAGGAGCAAACTGCGGAGGTGTGGGCAGGACTCCTAGCTGGAGGAAGGCTCGGCACACCAGACATCTGGCCCACCGGCGCCTAACCTGGAGACAGGGTGGGCCATGAGTGGTGTCACAGGCGGCATCAGACCATTCCCCAGGCCCCTCTGGGCCCTTCGTGTTGGGCAGGGGGTGGGTGGCGGCAGAGAAAGGGGAGACCCCAGGTAGACTGTTGAGCCATACCAGGGGTCGCTGCTGCCCGGCACATCATCCACCCCCACCTTAGTGGGTCCCAGAAAGCCTAGGAGGAGGGTCTTCACAGGGGCACAGAAGGACAGAGTCACTACCACTGAACCCTCTGCTCCAGCTCGCTTCTCCTAAATGGCCCCAGCCCCCTCGAGGCCCTGGCGGTCAGACAGGGAACCCAGCATGGTGCACTGTGCCCATGGGGTGGAGTGTGGGGGCGGCTGGCCCAGAGTGCTGACCTGCACTGCACTGCCCTCTGTGTTACAGCTTCACGTGGTCAGCCGCCAGAACGGACCGGAACGTGATCTCGGTGCTGTCTGGCCAGGTGGTGGAGGTGTTCGACCGGCAGTTCCAGGAGTTATACCTCACCTCGTGTGGCGTCAGCCTGCAGGGCATCCCCATGGAGAAGGAGCCCGAGCCGGAGCCCATTGTGCTGCCCCCCGTGATGCCTCTGGTGCCTACGGGCACCGTGGCCAAGAAACTTGTCAACCCCAAGTACGCACTGGTCAAGGCCAAGAGCGCCGATGAGCTCGCCAAGACGTGCACTGAGAAACCCGAGGCTCAGAGGCTCCCAGGGCTGCGGGCCCCAGCCCTGGCGGAGCGGCCCACTGACCTCCCTGATCTGCCCCTGCCCTTGCATCCCGGGCTGCTGAACCTGGAGCGGGCCAACATGTTTGAGTACCTGCCCACATGGGTGGAACCGGACCCCGAGCCGGGCAGTGACATCCTGGGCTATATCAATATCATTGACCCCAACATCTGGAACCCGCAGCCCAGCCAGATGAACCGCATCAAGATCCGGGACACGTCCCATGCCAGTGCCCAGCACCAGCTGTGGAGGCAGAGCCAGGGCTTGAGCTCCAGCCCGGGACCCAGCCCAGAGCCCCAGGATGGGGCCCCCACCTCCAATGGCCTCCCCCAGGGGGACTCTGAATTAAAGCCCCCTGTGCCCAAGCCCCGAACAGTCCCCGTGGCAGACCTACTTGCCCAGGAGGGTGGTGATTTTGACTGGGCCCCAGACACCCCGGACAAGGAGGTCCCTCAGAACGGGACTGACCATGGGCTGCCCCAGGCAGCAGGCTCAGGCCGGGCCCCACTTCAGCGGCAGCTGTCCATGACTCAGGATGACCCTGATGGCCTGAACCCAGGGATCCCCAATGGGCTGGATGGGGAGGAAGAGGAAGACGATGATGACTATGTGACCCTCAGCGACCAGGACAGCCTCTCGGGCAGCTCCAGCCACGGCCCTGGCCCCCGGCGGCCCTCGGCAGCCTCTTCTGTGTCCGACGAGTATTTTGAGGTGAAGGAGCGCCCAGCCCCTCTCCGGAGGCGCCACTCAGAGCAGGTGGCCAATGGAGCAGCCCCGAGCCCTCGCCGACAGCTAAGTGCCCCCCATGGGAGCCCAGGGACCTTTGGTGGGCCCATGGGGGGCTCCCCCTGGGCCCGGAGTCGAGCAAGAGAAGCAGCAGATGCCTCGAGAAGGATGCAAGCCCAGATGTCACCAGACAAGAACATACAGGTAGGCCAAGTCCCTGCACACAAGCCCCTCCGGGGCCCAGAGCACCAGGGTCCCTGCACCCAGGAGGTGTCACAGGCCCCCCCATCGGCTGCTTTCTAGGATCAATGTCACTTTTTAAACCCTTTTCCTGTGGCAGATGTGGAAACTGACGAGCAGGAAGGCATCACAAAGTACAGGGTCACCTGTGGGGGATGCTCAATTCCAGATCTCCACAAAGGCCACCTGAACTAGCCCCACAAACCAGAAGGAAACCCAGCTCAGTTCCAAGGTGTCCAACGCCTTGTATCCCGGGGTCTTAGCACCGGTAGACAGGTGTGCCACCCCAAGTTTGCAGATGAGGCCGTGGTGGCTGGGGGCACAGAGACACTAGTCTGTGCCTCTGAGGTCACACATCAACAAGTGGTCAAGTAGCACCCTGCCCAGTCTGTGCTTCTGTGTGCCACGGCTCCTCCTCGTTAACCCCTGAGTCGCCCCCGGACTACTGAGTGACTCCCTCAGGGCTGGGAAACTCTTGTACCCACCTTCCACTTCCCCTCCTGGCCCTGTGCTCACAACCCCCAGCCAGCCTGGCCAGCACCAGGAGTGGCCTTACCTGGATACAGAGCACGGCTGATCATGCCCGGCATGATCATCAGGCCCATGGGGAGCATCTTGAGGTAGCTTGCGAGGATGGAGCCGGCCTTCGCGTGGTTCAGATCCCTTGCAGACAGTGACCGCTGCACAATAACCTGCGGGGCCGGTGCCAGAAGGAACAGCCGCGTCAGGACTTCTCACCAGCAGGCGCTGGGGGGTGGCTGGGACGCACACTGCACTGCCAGAGGCAGCTGCTGGAGTCTCCCTCCTCTCTGATTCGCTGAGCTCCCCCATCCGTCCTCCAGGGAAGGGCTGGGGACTTGGCCTCCCCCGTCCATCAAGCAGGGAAGGGCTGGGTCCTGCCTGGCCTGCCACCCTACAGTTTTCTGGACTGGTGGATATGGGCAGGATGGTAGGGACCCGATCCCCTGGGGTCCCCTGGGCCCTTGTGAGTGTAGCCAGCTGCTCACACACATGCCAGGAGTGGACCTTAGCACCAGTTTGTGTCCTTCCAGTAGGGAGAGTCGACACTAAGTCCTGGGGCTGGAGCACTTGCTGGTCAGTAGCACGAGAATAATGGGGCTGGAGCACTTGCTGGTCAGTAGCA